CAAATTGAAAAACATTCAAAAAAATTGAAAAATTGAAAACCCAAATTTTGAAAAAAAACCAGATGGAAAAACCAAAACCCGAACCCATCTCCAAAACCCTTACCCTAATTCGAACCCCATTTTTCAAATCAAATCACCACTAAAAAGGGGGAAAAATGAAGCTTACGGTTGTCCGACGGTGAGGCCTAAGCCCCTCTTGCTCAGCGACGAATCGGCCTTTGCCATCAAGTGGGCTGTCCACCACTACCTCCGCCCCGATTGGAGCTCGCTCGTCCTCTCCAAAGTCGACGCCGGCAACGAGGAGTTCACCCAAAATAATGAATCTTTGTGGAAGAGTTTTTTTGTAGAAGAGATTATAAGTGCACTGAATCATTGACTTTTTTGTGGAAATGGTATGGGAAGAAAGAATTTGAGAGGATAGATGGGATGCGTAATTTTCTGCAGAAAGAAGTTCTATTTTCTTTTCTTTTTTTTTTCTTTTTTCATTTTTTTTTTCTATTTTAAAGGGGCATTGAGGGGGTACAATGGTCCTTTCATAGACTTCTTAGGAGAAATTGAAAGAAATGGTCGCACGGCAAGCGCGTGAGCCACACTTCTGTCAATTTAAACGATTTTGGGTAATTCGCGCATGCAAATATATAATACAAGGGAGTTTGACGCAATTTTTAAAATACAAAGGGATAATGCGCAAATTTAGTATAATACAGGGGGGTTTGGTGCAATTAACCCTAAAAAAAAAGCATAAATTTATCTTATAGTTTGGGAGAAGTTTAAAAAAACTAGTATATTTTGTAATTAGAAGTAGTTCGAAGCGGTTGGGCTACTTTTGGGCTGTGTATCTTCTCCACTTGAAAGGGGAAAGCCCATTATTTATTTATTTATTTATTTATTTTATAATTCTAAATAAACTAGTTGTTTTCGTTTAGGGTTGTGCAGAAGTTGTTTCGGGGGGCTCCTTTTTGTGGTCGTCTTCAGCTAACGCAAAACATTGCCCTCTTCTGTTCTCCACCTGCATCATCTATCTGTCATGGCAAACAGTTTGTACCTCTTCTCTTACTTACTCCAACTATTTATCAAATTCATATTGCGCTCAATGACATGTTTTTCTTGATTTGATTTCCGAGAATCAGCTGCGACGCGATCGTTTTTGCAAGTGGCTGCGACGGAGGAAGCCACGCCCCCCCTCAGAGTCGTTCAAATCGAAGGATTGGTACGCTTTTACTGCACACGCTCGCTTATTGTTGAGTATTCTCTTGATTCCATTGTATGGTGGGGCTGGACAGTAGCAACTAATTTTACCCGCTTTCCAGATTCATATATTATTGGTACCACGAAAAAGAAAAAGGAGAAATCTTTTGGCTATTTAGGGAATTATTGCTTTGGTTAATTTTTAGTCTCTTTATATTTTATATGTATAAATTTGATTTGATTACTTGCAAATTTTGTTATTGACAACACATCTGTGACAATCTAGTTCAGTTTTGTTTGTACAGTCTAAACTCCAGTGACATGTATTCAGGTTTCCCATTATTCTTGTCTTACTTTTCAAAACTACTGTATATTATTTATACAGGTTATTTTGAAAATAATAAAACACTGCAAGGAGTTTTCGCCAGCTCTAGTAACTGGACAGCTGCTTGGTTTAGATGTGGGCAGTGTTCTAGAAGTCACCAATTGTTTTCCTTTCCCGGTATGCTGCAAATTGCTGCAACTCTTCTTATTTAGCACCTTACCAAGTGAAAATGTATACAGTAGCACGATATATGATTGTCAGGGAATGTCTTACTTATTATGCTGCAGATTCGGGAGGAAGATGAAGAGATTGAAGCAGAAGGTGCTAATTATCAGCTTGAAATGATGAGATGCCTTAGGGAGGTCAATGTTGATAACAACACTGTTGGATGGTAAGTGAAATCCCCCCACGAGCAAGCAACACCTTGATCCAATCCATACCTCAACCCTGGATACATTCTTCCCAAAATTTGTATGACGTGTAATTAAATGCATCCCATTTTTACTTAAGATGTAGCCCGCGAGGCAATAGGTTTCTGATAAGGGGATTGAATAATTTATGTTTTGTTCCTCAGGGACTGATTTTCCTCGAAATGGAAACTTTGCCTTTTTGTGTTCAGTATCTGGAATAACTAAGTACCCTTGACCCATGCATGAGCTGCCTGCATGCCTCCTTTTTACATTTCTTTGTGCATAGTGTCAGCTTAAAAAGTTAAATTCAAATGAGAGATTCATTTAAATATGCCTATTCCTTTTTTTTTTTGGTTTATTTTCTTTCTTTGGAGTCTCCCCAAATTGATTAATTAAAATTCTTTAACTTAGTGCTAAAGGGTGTCATCAATGAGTAACCACATCTTACTGAGTTCTTGAATTTGTTGCAAAGAAGAACCAATATAATAAATTCACTTACCCTTTTTCTTTTAGATTTTTTGAATTCCTGTATCTCATAAAAAAATCATTATAAAATGTGAGTTTGTATTATTGTTCATTTCAATATCCTGATTGGGTTTTTTTTTGGTTGGTCCATGTGTAAATTATTGGCTCATGCTTCTCTTTGGAAGTTTGCTGGTTACATTATGTAAAACATTGGTTCACACTTCAGTTGAATACATTTACTGAGTGTTTTTTCTGAAAGGTTAGTAATAGGCCTTTTGTAATTATCTTGCAGGTATCAATCAACCTTGTTTGGCTCCTTCCAAACAGTGGAATTGATCGAGACTTTTATGAATTATCAGGTATTCTAGGTGGAGTATTAATATCCCGGTTCATCTTCTGTTAGGAGAACACTGAAGTATAAGTAAGCTTTATTAGTAGGTGTGATAACCAAGGAGCTATATATTGTTTAATTTCGAAATATGTCATTATCATTTCCGCATGGGATAAAAGTTAGCTTCTTTCCCATTCTTTCTTTTTTGTTTCTGGGTTTTTTTTTTTTTTTTTTTTTTTTTTTTTTTT